ATACAGTGTAAAAAAAACTTTTCTCATACTACACTGTTTTTATTCCTTTTTCCTAAGTCATTCTAAACCTCACATACAACATGTCTTAATCTTTTGATGTTTTAAGAACATCAGAGAAAATGATGCTAGACAATGCTCTGTAAATTGAGCCAGTGCCTGTCACAGAGCAAGTGCCCACTCATTAAATATATGCTGAGGTAATGCATAAGTAACACTATATAGATCTATGATGAATAAAAGTCTCCAAAATAATACTGTCACAGATAGTTTAATGTCCTTGATGAAATGTTATAAACAAGCATGAAATTTATTCACATAATCTGTTTTATTATAAAACATACAGATTAAATACTAGTTGTCAGGCTCTTATATAATGACAGTGAAAAATGTCATGAACTACAGAAGAATCAGAAATATATTGAGAAATAGGATTCATTTTTATTTTATATTTCTACACCATACCAGACTGAACTGTGATCTTTCAAAATTGGTATTTTGAAACCTCAACCTCCAATGTGATAATATTTGTGAGAAATGTTTTTTTTCCTTTAAGAACCAGATCCCAGTAAATATGTCCTACTTTATTTGCTCCATAAAAGAATAACTGAGTATAAAGAGGAATAAAAAAAGCAGCCCAAGAGATAGAAGGAATGCCTGGACATTAAAAATAATATTATGATGGCTGAAATACAAATAGATTCTGAAATAATAGAATGTTCTGATTATAGTTAATTAGAAGAAATATGGAAAAAGACAACACTAATAAAATAAATACAAACAATGTAATTTAGAAATAAAAATGTGAGAGATGCACAGTACTTGTAGAAGAAAATAAGCAAGGGTCCACTGGTTATTTTAAAGGACTTCAAGTTTAACTACTTCAAGTCTTAAATAAAAATTACTAATTAAATACATAAACATATAGATGTATATATGCACACACACACACACACATATATAAGTATAGGAACCCAATGACTCTCTAGTTTGGAATCAACCATGCATCCATTAGGAGAAAAAGAAAGAATAATGTATATACATATCTAATTATACACAGCTAAATATAATTATGTGTATGAATATGACTATTACTATATCTCATATAGTCATATATTTATATATGAAATCTTATGAATCAGGAAACAGTATCAGCCCAACCAGATTTTACAACTTTATAAAAGAATAATAATTTAATCTATACATAAGTGAACAAGAACTATGGACTGTGTAGATCAATGAGACAGACACTAATAGCAGATATGACAGTATTTCCTTTTTCCTGGTGCTTATTACTTTAAAAAGTAGACATTATAAATTAAAGTAATAGGACATGTTCACTGTATTGTACTTGAAAAAATGTGGTGCATTTTGATTTGGCAAAGTGAACTGTTTTCTTAGAATGTGAAAGGATGGACATATCTTAAAGTAGAATATAAGAAATTAAAAATATATATCAAAATGTGCCATAAAGGTAAAAATAGGTCTTTTGTACATCTCCAAATTGCAGAACAAACATAAAATGTAAAATCACTTCATATCAACGCATTCATATCAAAAAAAGAAAGAGTAGTTTAATACCTCAATTATAATGAATTATATACCTTAAGATACAGTGTTCAAAATACAGTAGCAATGGAGTAAGAATGGGAACAATTCACACCCTGGAAAACAGCACAGCTGCTGAAATTCCTACAGCCCATGGCTACCTGCACTGAAGTGTATCCTGGAGAGCAGCCTCATTTCACCTCTGTAAATCTGTTTTCTCATTTGCAAGCAAGGGATAATAACAGTGTGCCATAACAACATTATATGGTGAAATGGAGAAGTACAGAGAGATCAGAGTGCATTGTCTGTCACTTAATTCATGTGAGCTTTTATTAGTACCATCATTATCATCCCCTATCATTTAATCATCTCAATAACTCAATGGGAAATGCATTATTTTCCCTCTTTTTCAGAAACGAATATCACAGAGAAAATAGCAAGAACTGAGATGCTAAACCTGAGCTCTTCTTCATGAGATAAGCACATCTCAAACTAATATTAAACTAATGAAAGTTAAAATAGCATCAATGATTTTTATATCTGCATCTCTATTAATAATCTGTCTCCAGCTAAGCAGAATATCCCTGTTGGTGTCAACAAGGTTTTAAACATCAGTCTACTCATTCATTAGCACCTGCTGGCTTGGATGATGGCTCAAATAGTAGAGCACTAAGCCTTGAGTTCAATCTCCATTTTCCAAATGGATAAATAAATAAATAAATCCTTTTAAAAACAGAAAAAAATACCCTACAAGGAAAGCCTGTTGGTTGCATCACATACAGAAATCAAAGTCACCCAAAATTGTGCCCTTCTGGGAATGATCCTTATGCAATAACTGGTTGAGGCATTGTTGTCTGATTTGGAAAGGGTGTGACGTCATGTTATTCCAGAACTTCTTCTGAGGTTGGCTGAGGCTTTGGGTCTGGATTCCAGTTGATTATCTCTCTGCCTTTATCTGCTTCTCTCCTCCTTCCCATAGACAACTGTGTGGTAAGAGGTCACAGACCAGCTGTAAAAATTATCAGTATTCATGAATTCTGAAGGTGTATACAGGAAGGCATTGTAACAATAAAAACAGCATGGTACTGCCAAAAAGAAAAAGAGACATGAAGACCAATCACAGCTACTCCCATATGATTTTTGACAAGGGTGCCCAAAACATATGATGGAGAAAATGGAGCCTCATCAACAAATGTTGCTGGGAAAACTGGGTATCTACATTCAGAAAACTGAAACTAGACCATGTCTATCACTCTGTACAAGTATCAACTTAATGTGGATAAAGAACCTTAATATAAGACCTGAAACTTTGAAGCTAGTTTAGGAAAGAGCAGGAATTAACAGGCAAAGGCAATGAATTTTTCAATAGGACTCAAATGGATCTGTATCTAAGAGAAAGGACTGACAAATGGGACTGCATGAAATTAAAAATCTTCTACACAACAACAAAAAATGGTCACCAGAATTAGGAGGCTGCACACAGAAAAGAAAAAATCTGGACAGCTTTATATCTGATGGATTAATAACCAGAATATACAGGGAGCTCAAAAACTTAACTCTCCAAAAAAACCGAAGACCCAATGAAGAAATGGGCAAATGAACTAAACAGAGCTTTTTCAAAGGAAAAAGTCCAAATGGTTTAAAGAAACACATGAGTTAGCTCAACATCCCAGGCCATAAAGGAAATGCAATTCAAAACCACATTTAGATTCCACCTCACACCTGTTAGAATGGGTATCACCAAGAAAAGAAACAACAAATGTTGTTGAGGATGTGGGGAAAAAGGAACCCTCATACATGGAAAACAATATGGAGGCTCCTCAAAACCCTAAAACTAGAACTGCCATATGATCCAGAAATATCACTCCTAGGGATATAGCCAAACGAATTAAGTCAAGTTATAATAAAGACACCTGCATACCCAGGTTTATTGCAGCATTATTCATAGCTAAGCTATGGAAATAGCTAAGATGCCCCACTACTGATGAATGGATTAAGAAAACTGTGGTATTTATATACAATGGAAAGTTATTTAGCCATAACGAAAAATGAAATTTTGTCATTGGCAAGTAAATAGATGGAACCGAAGAACATAATCTTAAGTGAAGTTAGTGAGGTTCAGAAAGTCAAAGGCTGCATGTTTTCTCTCATATGTGGAATATTGATACAATACCAATACAAGCAGTATTATGAAAAACAGGTCATGCTAAGGGGAGGTCACATACAAGAGTGGAAGAAGGAGTTTAGGTAAATATGATTGATATAATTCCTATACAAAAATAAATATACAATTTTTAATTCTGTTGAAATCACTACAAGGTGACTAAGGAAGAAAGGAGAAAAAGAGAGGGGATGAAACAATTTGGGTTATAATACATATATACATGGAAATACTTAGATGAAACTGTATAGCTGTCCTAAAAAAATGTCATTTATTTTTCAAAAACAGAAAATATGAAGGCAAAACAAATCTTACCTGGGGGTCTGGTACCAGTGGGAGGGAGGAGGATACAAGGAAAAATTGCTGCAGGTAAATATGGTGGAAACATTTACACATGCATGTAAATGGAAAAATGAGACCTGCTCAAACTACTGCAAGAATGGGGAAGAGGGAATAAAGGAGAATGATACAGGGGGTAAATTAAACTATGATACATTCTAAGAACGTCTGTAAATATCACAAACGTACATTTACATTTCTCCAGTAAAGATATTCAGATGGACAATAAGCACACTAGAAGTTCCACATCATTACTCATTAGGGACATGTACATTAAATCGGCAGATATCTCCTCCTATCCACTAGAGTGGCTGTATTTAAAGAAAAAAAATGGAAGAGAAAAAGAAAGCAATGTTGGTGAGGATATGAAAAAAATTGGAGTCCTTCTGTCCTGTTCATGAGAATTCAAATTTCAGAGGCTGTTCTATACTCTGTTACAGAACATCCCAACTCTAGTCCCAGGTGTTCTAAGGGTCATTTCAGCATATCACACAGTTTAATAGTGGAATGAAGAGTTGCTCTGTGAAGAAGGACATATGTTCTTCAGCAACCTGACAAGGATGACTACCTCATCCTACTTCTTCATAAAATAAACAGAGAAATCTGCAAGGTTTTTGATTTCAACATGTGAGAAACATTACTTCTTTTCAGGACAGGAAATAAAAAACAAAACCACAATGTCTGTGCAATAATAGAGCATTTAATATAATATTCATATCCAACATTCTATTAACCAAAAATAGATATCAGCACATTCAAACAAGGGTGTAATTTTCCTTTTTATACCAGTACTCACTCTCCTTCCCCCTCCCTCCACGTCCTGATTCCCACAGCTCATGATGCAGCAGGGATGTCAACTTGTGCAACATAAATGGAAGATACCTTTCAGGCCTAGCAACTCTATTCTAGAAAAGCCTTAGCCCCAGCCATCCAGACCCTTGGGAAACATCCATACAATATGCCTTTGGAAAATCTGAGTCCTTTCCGCTTACTCCAAGGCAGGGTGAGTCTGGCACCATGCTTTCCCACTGTCCATCTATTGAGTGTTCTTTTCTTCAGAATAAACTGATAGTTAGCAGATGAATTCATGGCATAATATACATTAGAATTACCAGGAATTTTCATCTCTGGTATGTGAAACAGAGAGTTTTGTTCAGGGATACTCATGTGGAATGTGCCACCCCTACCACTTGGAGCTTTCTCCAGTACCCATCTGATCCACAGCACTGAGATTCCTCAGTCAAGCTCCAGAACCACTATATCTCATACCTGTGACTCCTGGCTTCAGAAAGATATGCTAAGGTTTCATAATACCTAACGACTCTTTCTCAGAAAGATACGTGGCTTCTACCATGCTGCATATCTCAGCCGGCAGCTAACAAAGGGTCTTTCTATCCTCCCATATGGTTGCTTCTTCTGGGGAGGGCCTCCAACCACAGCAAGCTTTCAAGAATCTAAGACATCTTCCCTGAATGCTGCCTTACTTAGGACAAGACATGAAAAGTCCAATACTTGATCAGGCCTCCTCATCTGGGCTCCAAAGAAGCCTCTACACAGTTACTGGGCTCAAGGTCTGGTGTGAATCAATGGTAGGTAGGACTCCTATCTAGGTCTTTAGCTTTCCCTAGGCCTCAGTCTTCTTTTTCCTAATACAGGGGACAATCCCATCCTGTCCACCTATCCAAAACCATGCAAGCCACTACAAGAAGATTTATGATAAAACTAGGGACAGTGAGGTTCAGTGCTGAGAGTCTGAGTAATGGCAGGACGTGGGTGTTCAGTTCAATGGAAAGAAAGCAGAGCTATGACAATGTGTACAGCAGACTTTGTGGGTCACATACATTCCATATTCTTTCTCTCTCTTCATCACTAGGAGGAATCTGATGTATACTCTGGCCTACTTTTCCTGACAGGGACACAGTCACGGGTGTCTTGGAACTGCCCAAGTTCTCTGAGTCAGAACTGCTAACAGTTCTGTGGTTCTTATGCTTTCAAGATCACTAACTCAGAAGCCAACAGTGTGTACATTTTATGTTACATACATGGATTTTAACATTTGACACCTCCATTCATAAGCATGTTTTCACTTATTAGCCAGAAAGTGTCTATTCTAGTGGGCCAGTGAGATACCTTACCATGATGTTCTCTTTGCACTAACTGTTCACATCAAATGTCATAGACGTGGATTTATTCAGCTGTTCAGGTAGTGAAGAGACTCTGATGTGACCAAGGGTGCTCCTAGAAAGTTCACTGTGCACCATGCCCATGCTAACCCTGTTGCACTGACTTCTGTCTAGGATTTTGGACCTTGTGATGGGAATGGTGCTATCCCTGACCCTCTGCCATTTCCCCAGATGTCTGATTCTTCAACTTACTGCAATTTTTTGAGATTATCTGTACCAGCTCACAGTCCTCTGGATTATCCATGTCTAGATTGTGATTATCCATGGCCTTGTGGATGATGCTGGAGATTTATCCTGACTGGTCACCTGGATCAGTGAAGGGGCAACTCATTAGGACAAGGGTGCTACAGTGGCATAGCAGGGTATTGTCCAGGAGAGACACTCCACAGCCACCACAGCATTAAATACAGGGCTCAAACCACAACAAATTCTGACAACTGGCCACCTCCACAGCCAATGAGCCATGAGTATTGCTGTGGCTCATGATCTCCAAGACTGGATTTTGCAAGGAAGTCACAGACCAACCCCCGCTCAAGAAGATGACAAGTGTTACAGCTAACTTATGCTCAAACAACAGGGGCTCCATCTTGCCCCAAGAGAAAGTCAATTTGGTCAAGGTGGTCTTCTGTTCCCCACCTCATCTCTCCTCAGCACAGTTCCTTCACCTTATTTCTTCTCACTGTCCCCCAACTTGCAGGTACACTTGGCCTGGGGTCTAGGTACACTGCTCCCTCCATCCTCTCATGAGTGCTGACCACTGCTTTCTAAGACCCTGTCTGTACTTCCTGACCCCACTCACCAGGATGCTCTTGTAGAAGTTGCTACTGTTGACCTCCAGGCTCATACGGATGATAGCATAGTCACCCACCTGCTGGTTGTAGAGGGCCTTTGTGAAGCAGGTGTTGCAGACCCAAGAGATAGGGAACTTGTTGCTGCTAGTGGTGGCTGCAGTCTTGCTGGAGTTTGGCACCAAGGATGGTTGCTCAAGGTGGAGCTAATGCTGGAAGACTAAGAGGATGACTAAGAGGCCGACTTGCAGAGCTGTGAGAGACAGCAACATCAGATGTCCAGACCCTGCAGGGTGTTCCAGCTTGGGAGTCACCTCTAGGGATTCTAAAAGCTGTCTTCAGGAGCTGGGGCTTCTGGTCCCCTTGTCTGGACATTGAGTGGACAAGGCTGGCACTTTGGGGAGGAGTCAAAGGATGGAAAGTCACCTTTTCCTGGCCATCAGGAGACTCCAGGATAAAACTCATGTTGATCTATTGTATGTCTGACCTGGAGGACCCAGTTGAGTTCATGCAGAATTGGTCACCCATGTACCCACTGCTGAAATTGTTGTCACACTTGAGCTGGTCATAGGGCTTGGTATAGCACTCTGTGTTGGGGGCCTGGCAGCTAGATGAAGGGGCTGGCTTAAGTGAGGGCCCTCCACAAAGACATAGTCCACCCCTAGCATCCCCACAGCAGTCTGTGTTCATGCAGCAGTGCTAGTAGCTCTGTAAATCCTCTGTATTCCTTTTGTCCCAGGCATCCAGGTGATCAACACATTTCATTACAGAGGAAACTGAGGCCAAACCAGCTGGGGGCACTCACCCATTTACAAGCATATTCACAGGTGGAATGGGATCCCACCATGGACCCAGGCACTTACCTGCTCCCAATGGCTGTGTTCTTGGTCTTGTGGGTAGTGCTAGCTGACATGGATGGAGGCTCCAAATTACATGAAAGCTTGTAGCTATGGAAGGCTATGTTGAGGCTAAAAAGAGCCACATCCTGACTCCTGCCCAGGGCCTACTTGGAAACAAGAGCCGGGCTGCCCACCCCTCACCAGCCAACAATGTGATAGTGACCCAAGGCATATGACAAATGCTCATGTGAGCCAGCCCAAGGTACAGCCCATTCTGGTTACCCACAGTGCTTCCCAGACATCACCTTTGTGCCACACTGAGATGTCCATCCCAGAACCAGCCCAAAGAGCTCCTGGGGTGAAATGTTGTACTTATAATAAGTAGCCTGCAGCTGCTTGATTTGGTTGATCACATGGAACTCCTGAGCCACAGAGAAGGACAACATGGTAAGCGCTGTGAGCAGGTGTCACCTGGTGGACACCTTCAAGTCCACCCAGGGTCCTTCCTCCCTGTTCTCACAGCCTGCTTTGAACAGCCACTCCCACAAAGCTGCCTGATCCACCTGAGACCCCAACCTTCCAATGAACACCCCTTCTCTCACTATCAATATCACCATAAATCAATAGGTGGCAAGGAGTTCAGTGAAATAGCCAGTCAGATACTCCTCACCCACTCCATGAGTTAGGGCAGCATCTACTCACCTTCCTCATCTTCTCAACGTTGATGATTCTCTCCTATAAGGCAAAGAAGCAATGTGCTTAGAATGTGGCCTCTCAACAATTGAGGACCACAAACTCCTCTGCACTAAAAGGAAAGGCCACCAGGTGATAGGGTGCACCCATACCTCTACTAGGCCCTTCTTTCAATCCATGGCAAGGACACATAGGGGTAGACATTTGAAGCACTGTTTTGCCCAACACTTAGTAAGGACATAGGAGAGACTGAAATTTCAGGTGTGAAGGCCATGATTTTTCCATGAGCTGCCTCCACTTGGAGGGGCTGGCTTCACTCTCTGCTCAGTTACTATGTGAGAGCCTTGCCAAACCAACCAAACTGCAGATGTGCTATAAGGCAGCTCTCTGGCACTATTAAGTAGGTTGAGTGTGATGCTTACAAACTGGGTGAGGTGGGGCTCTCAGGAGTGCTAGAGGGCAGGGGTCAGCCAAAGGTCTCTCCCTGAAACCTGCTCCCCTGCCCCTGGCTCAGGTTCACTCACATTAAGATAGTCCTTCATGGCATTGTCCAACATCACTAGGTCAGTGAGAAAGATGCCCAGGTAGGGGATGGTGCCCTGGATGAAACACAGACTTCACAAAGGGGGTAATAAACAAGTCCCCACACCCCTCCAATAAATGATGTTCAGTCTGACACCATTCATCCCAGGGATTCCCACTCAAGAGTAACCTGCAGATCTTTGGACACCTCTCTTAAGTGAGATGCTCCCCCAGACATCTGGGAGTGCAAATACCTCTATGTAACACCCACACTAGTCTCTGGCAGAGCTCAAAAGTATGTGGCCCTTACCCATTGTCCTTAGACTTTGCTGTTTAAGGAGGAGGCAGTCTTTCCTCTGCAATGTCACTTCATTAAGGCATAGATATACAGGGATCAGAACCAGTTCTGAAGGGCATTTTAGGAAGCCCGACAACAAATGGGAAAGGCCTGTTGAACCCATCTCTCCACCTGTTCCCAGGGACACCTGGCTTCAGACACAATCACTTACCATCTCCTTGGACTGCCTCTCAGTCCTCTTGGACTTCCACCCTATGGTTGCATTTGGATATTTCCCCTGCCAAGATTGAGAATGGAATTAGGGAATCCTGTCTTCTTTCAGCCCTTCACTAAGGACTTGAGCTGATTCCAACTCTCTTTCCACTGATATAAAAATTATTCATCAAGCCCCTATTCCAGCACTTCTATTTGAGAATCCTTGATGGTCATGTAGCATTCCTTCTTCCTGTTTTCTCATATGCAAAGTGCACATGTGAATATCTGCCTTATGGGGTCTGGGAGTTCTCAATATCTCCTTCCTGTCCTCCGTTATCTGCTATCCTGACTCCAGCCTTTGCCAAACTCTTCCTCAGAACTTCTGCACCTGTCTTTTGCTGCTTGGAACCCATTTTCTCTCCTTATGTAAGCTCTCAGACTAAAGATTGATCCATTTGTTAGATATGGAAACTGAGGGCTGGACAGGGTTGTTAAGTGCACAGGGTCCTTTCAGCTGCTCAAGGGGGAGGCCTTAAGCCCCCATCTGGACAGTAACCATGGTCCTATCCTATGACCCCTTGGCCTGTACTAAGGATACTTGCTGAACTGAGCCATAAAGTGAAAGGTACAAGAAGGCTTGATATCTTCCTGCAGTCCCCTCAAGTCTCTGCACCAAGGTGCACCTAATGTCAAGGTAAATGCTTGTAGACTCCACTGAGCCTCTCAGGATATCCCTTGGCATAAAATTCTGCTTTTGTCCACTGAAGTCTGAGAATACCCCAGAGACTATCTCTGGTTGACCAGGGGTGTGCAGCATTGACACTTTGCTTCCTCTTTTTCATGAGAGCTTCTAGAGTAAGTCAGAAAAATCCAATGCTGATTTCATCAATCCTTGTTACATTTAAAGCACTGGGCACTTCAGGACTCTCAGGTGGATGCTAACCTCCCATGGGTCCTTCAGATGGGCTGACCCTCTGCATCATCTGCTCTAGGGCAGATATAGGGACATATGATGCATCCAGATTTAAATCCTCAGTCTGGACATTTGGACCTAAATTTGACTTCAGCTTATGCTGCTGGCTGACCACTGGGAACCCCTGAAGCTCCAGGTCCCTGCATTGTATACCCACAATGAAGGATGTCAGTGGCCTGAATTCATGAGTTCAGGTTGGGCTGTTAAGGGAAGACAGTCACATCCTCTTGCATCCACATAGAAGGTGGCTGGTGCTAAATCCCAGAAGAAAACCAAACATCCCTTAATCCTGCACCTCAACCACTCTCCTGGAACAATCATGCTGCAAAATCTGCATCCCATTACCAGGACTTTCTTACTTCAAAACTGCTTACTATGTACCTAATGGACAAACACAGTCTCTTCTCTTCATCCTGGAATCTGTTAAACACTATTAGTGACCAGTATGGTGGACCAAGCCTGTAATCCTACCTACACAGGAGTCAGACATCAGGAAGATCAGAATTCTACACTGGTCCTAGGAATTACTTCTCAAGACTCATCTCAATCATGGCTCAGCTTGATGGCACATGGAGATCACAGGCCACACAGGTCTGGAAGTAAAGTGAAACACTATTCAATAATAACCAAAACAAAAATGGCTACTGATGTGGTTGATGTGGAAAAGCAGATACCTAGCAATCATGAGTACCTGTGTTCAAGTTCCCACAAGGACAACTTTTAGTGAGAAACTAATTTAACCTCCTGTATTCCCATGTCTATGCTAAGTTCTCTACCCACTGTGGTGAGCAGCTTTCTGCTCATGGAGTGATTGTTTTCAGGAGAAAAAATTCTTGATAGCATCTCAAATTTCTGGAAGTTTTCACTGCAGGAAGGGTAAAAAGAAGGTGACAGTGAGAAGAGTGGGGAGTGGTAAGAGTGTGACACCATATTCTTGCTGGTTCATGATTCCAAACTGCTGGACAAGAGGTTTTGAAGTAGCTCCACTAAGTATTAAGCATGGATGGTTGTGGAGGGGGACCGTGGTGCTGGCACAATGGGTGCCACATCCCCTTTTACTGAGGGGCTCTGTTTTAATATCAACTGGATGGTTCTGTTGCCCAAATGTGAGGACATGAAAATCTGCCATATGGATTCAACCAGTGTCTGGCAGACAAGGAAGCCTTGTCATTCCATAGACATACTGATTAGGGACCACAAATACCAAATTGTGCCCCCCACCCAGTGGCCCTGGACCTCAGTGTTTGAGGCTGGGATAATTGAGGGCCAATGCCACCTACTATACACGAGTAGCTTCTCCAGAGGGAGGCACACAGACCTACAGACTTCTTCCCAAGTCCTCTTCAGGCTGTAGATGGCAATGTTCTGCAGAGCAGAGAGAATAGCATAGAGGAAAGAGAAATTGTTCAGAACGCCACACTCCTAAAAAGATGACATTGTGAACCACAGATAAAGCAGCTCATAAACCACCTCAGGTGTCACTGATGAGACCCTTTAAGGGGATAAACACTAGGAAGCTCTGGGGACACAAAAAGGACCCACATGTAACTAGAAAAGGACATGAGCTCACAACTAGTACAGAATTTTAGGAGGGAATGAGCACCCTGGCCAGGACTGTGAATGTCCAGGCTATGTAGCCCTGAAAAGGAGGCACCTGGGTTCCTAGCAGGGGCTCAGACCACAAACCATATCCTGAGAGGTAGGGAAGGTGAACAGGTTATCCCTGGGCCCTTTCTGTAGCATACACCAGCAACCTCAATCCAGTGTTCCACCACCCTGGCCCTGTCTGGGGCCTTCATACTCCAATCACCAAGGCAAGTGGTCATCACACAGGTGGCCACATTGTTGAATTGGATGATGGTGGCATGAATGGTGGCTGCGAGATGCTCATTGCCCTTCTTGTTCCACTGGGACCAAATAGAACCCAGGCAGTGGTAGGGCACCACCTTCTTGAATAGTTCCTGGGGAAGAGGGTCCAATTAGCCCTACACAGAACAAGCCTTCAGGCCAAGATTGGAGCCAGTGGTAGTGGCTATACCTTGGCATGGTGAGTATGTGGATAAAGACTTGTGGGACACTCTGGGTTTGCTGCACAACCATCAAAAACACCCAGAACATGAGTGACCCAAATAAAAGGTTTTGGGGGGCATGAAGGGAATTTTCAGTATCCAAACTCATTCCACACACTAGAAAATGTCCCACACCTGCACAACCAGAAAGTACCTCTGCCCTCCTCCAGCACACCTGTTGTCTAACTCCAATTTCCTCATATTGTTATAACCAAGGGCTTATCCTACAAATACCATAAGCTCTGAGTACTGAGGTTTATTACCCATCCTGGGAAGATGGTGTTCTGTGGGCCTGCCTAGACCTCCACCCTATACATGAACCTACACAGTATCTGGAGATATCCCATCTCCATTGTACAAAAGGGAAATGAGTTTTTGAGAGTTTAGGAAGTGGCCTTGATCAGGGGACATCCAGGGTTAGAATGGAGATTTAAATGGGAACATCAGCTAAGCCATGGAATGTCAAATGTGGATAGAATAGGCCAGAAGGACATGTGCCACCACCCTCCCTGTCTAGTGAGTCACAGCATCCATCTGAGTTAACTGCATTGCAATTAAATCAGGTGGGAATGCCAACAAGACATGAGGCTTCTCCTCATTCCATCTGTTCTCTGTGGTCACATCTGAAGGCTCTGAAGGATCTGACTGTTGCTCAAGAGTATCTGATGAAATTGATTCAATGTCTGGAGCCTTGAATAGAGCTCTCTGGAGTTGGTTTTGAAGCCAGCAATTGAGCTGGTGACACAGCTTCAGCAGGAGACAAGATCCTGACATGGCTGCCTTGCCTTGAGTCTTTCTAAAGCCAGAGATAGCCCCAGCCTGCCTGAAGTCCCAGTCTGAATCCAAACAGGAAACCTTCCCAGATGGTATTCCAACCCCTATGGAATCACACGCTCATCCTAGGTCTGGGTACAGAAGCAGGCTTAGAACCTCCACACTGTGGGGTTCTGCACCATTCCCATCTTATGTGCTCTGTTTTTACCACAGGCTGCTCCCTCTCAGTTTCAGGCTCACTGGACTCCACGTGTTCCCACTGGGCCAGAAGAAGCTGAGCATGGCACTCCTCATTTGACCCTGGCATGTTGAGCTGTGCTATCAAGAACTTGAGGCACAGAAAGTCTGGAAGCTGACAGAAGTCCTCTAAGTATTGGTTCAGCCAGGTGATCAGGATGGAGATGGCCCTGGAAGAAGATGGACAGTTAGCAGAATCAGAAGCCTGCCTTTGCTGGCAATTTCCCTGTCCTGCCATAGTTGACTTGTTAGTGCTGGCTTCCTATATTTGCCCCTATCTATCCAGAGGCCAGCACAACCGAACCAAGCCCTTCATCTGTCCAGGCACAAACAAGCAAGATAAATATGCAGGAGTTGCAGGGAACCTCTATTGCCTGGTTCATGCTAATGGTGAGATCTTCCCTGAAGAGGAAAGATCTGTGTTCTGTGTGTCTCTGGTACCCCTTCCCTCAGAATGTCAGCTCCACTATAGCGTGTCCACCTGCCTGGCATTCACTGAGTGCTGGTAGCCCTCAATAAGTGCTTTGTGCTTCCTCACCTCCATGAGTAGTGTGGGGGCTGTCTGACCATGACACCATTTTCCTGATGGGTGCAGTCTGACTTCTGAGCACTCACTAGATCCCTGGGAACCAGCAGAGTTCCAATTACTGAGAAGCATGGCCTTTATACCTTCTCTGTGGCCTGAGAGGCCATATGGTTGGGAAGCCTCACAGGTACAGGCTGTCTTGAAGATGATAAATTTATTTTCACAGGAGTCTACTCTGAATCACTGGTGCCCAAGACCACAAACATGGCCCCCTTTATTTTTGTCTAGTTCAGCTGAAGCCATAGACCACAGACCACATCCCTCTTGTTGGAATCACAAGTATTTGGGAAGCCAGGATCTTTCCAGTCTTATCTAAACCCAGCCACAAATGTCCCCACTCTTGACACAGGTACCCAACTTCTTTACCCAACAGTCACTTACTTTTTGAGGTGATCCTTTCATCTGTCATCCTTGTTGAAGCTATACCTAGAGGAGTCCAAGAAGGTGTTACATCTACTGTACCTACTACAAAACCTGATATTACTGTCTGTATACCCCAGCAAATGGAGTCCAGGATATCAGAGATTTGCCTTCTCTTTTACGTAATTATGCTATGCCCCTAGAAACCTTCCAAGAACACAGCTGATGCCTCATGTGTATTTGTACAAAAAAAAGCAACCACAGTGCTCCTTCCCAGACACTTCACTGAGCCTGTCTTCCTCAACAGCCCCAGAATCTGCTTTTCCTGATTCCACAAATAAATGAGGACCAAGACAGACAGCTTCTTCAAGGGGAAAGGGTAGTCATACAAAGAACCCACAGCCCTGGGCAGCTTACACCTCAGGGTAGACCTGGACTAAGGGCTCATCTTACTGGGTCCGGGCAAAACACTATGTGGGTGGTCCTTTGAGCTTGCATTCTCCAATGTCAAACTGGGGAAAGAGAAGCATAGGGCATTCCAAGGCACAGTCAAAAGAGGAGATTCCTTTGGGCTTGGAGATGGGGTTTACCTTGTGAACAGCAGGTCCAGAACCTGCTGTGTGGTTGTGAAACATTGGTAGGTGCACAGGAAGGTAGGGACAAAAAGGGGGTCCTTGAACACTAGACATGGTACCAGATGATCCACCAACTTCTCTAGTCTGCCTGCCTTGAGGATCCCCAGGTTCTGCCAGTCATCTGAGTTGTCAGCTGTGTCATTTTCACTCTGGGTTGTGGAGACAGTTTAAACCATAACTGTAACAAACTGGAAAAGGCTCACTGCCATAAAGTAAAACAGCCATCAAGAATGAGGCTACAAAAAAAAAAAGAATTAGGCTACAGAGGATCCAAGATGGCAACTAGAGGGAGGAAGTAGACAACATAAGCTCCATAAATCAAAAATCTTGTTGAGAAGCTGGAGCCACACTTGGCAGAAAAAAACCACCAGGAAAAAGCAAAACTCCGACACCCTGAACCCCCAGCCTGTACCACATTTCACTAAGAAAACAGGAGGGCTCCCACACCACCAGACAATGGCTCCAAACCTGCTTGGGAGATACAGACTAACAGGTGAGCAAATAAGCAGCACACAGCATTCCCACAGCTATGCCTGGGATAAACCAGCATAGCCCCCTGACAGACTGACCCCACACCAAAAAAATTTTTAAAAACTGGATAATAAACAAGGAACTGAAAGGACACACACAGAGGAGGCAGGACACTGAACTCAATGAGAAGGGGGAGGAGCAAGAGCTGAACTCTGAAAAATATTCCATAAACAACCCTAGAAAGGTAGATGAGCTGACATTAGGCGGGTGATGAGCTGCTGCCTGAAACAGGGCAGATAGTGGTCCAAAAAGCTCATCTCCTGACCCAACACATGGCGAGACTACAACAGAGCTGCTGCTTAAATACCAACACCAGGACTGGATGCTGAAGGAGTAACACCAAAACTACTAAGACTGAAATTCTATTGTTCCTGAACCAGGATTTTTTTCCTTTTAATCTAAGTGTTTGTGTTGTTCACTGTTCATCCACCATCTCTCCCTGTTTACTTCTTTGGTTCTCTATTTCTTTTCTCTTTTTCTTTTTTCTCTCTTTCTTGGTTTCATTAGTTTTAGTATTGTAAGTTAGCTAATACTAAATACAGACAGACCATGGAAAGAAACAGCACCAAGTGGAATGATGGGAGGATGAAAAAGGGATGGAAACCATTCTCCTCCCAAAATATTAATTAGTACAGGATTCAGAGAAATGAAAAAAAGGGATATTCAGTTCCAGACTCCAACAAAACAAAGAAAGACTAAGCCAAGGAACCCAACAAAGCCCACAAGAACACACTGAAAGAAGAAATCCTCCAACAAATCACTGAGAATTTCACAGCGATGTTAATAGACAAGATCAACCAAAATGTACAGGAGGCAATCAAGAAATTCCAAGAACAAAAATAAAGAATATGAGAAGACACAAAAACAAATAAGTAAACTCATAGGAGCCCTAAATAAATACCAAAGTGAAAGAGAACACTATAAATAGAGAGATAAATGAATTAAGGATGAAAATTGAAATATTAAATAGAAAGCGACCCATGATATGGAACACCTCATAAAAAAGAATGAAACAGAAATACAAAATACAATGCAAGGTCACTCCAGCAGACTAGAGCAAGCAAAAGACAGAATCTCAGAACTTGAGGATAAAATTCATTTAAAGGAAAAACTGAAGAATTACTACTCAAACAACTCAGAAACTGTGAAAAGAATATGCAAGACCTCACCAAACCATGAAAAGACAAACCTGAGATTCATGGGCATTGAAGAAGGTGCAAGCAAAAGAAATTCATAATATATTCAACAAAATAATAACAGAAAATTTCCTAAATCTAGAAAAACTATGCCCATTCAGGTACAGGACGATGCAGAGCACCAAACAAACTTGACCAAAATAGAACTACACTGCAACATATTATTAAAACAAGCACAGAGAACAGAGAAAGAATATTGAAGGCTGTAAGAGAGAAAAATCAAATAACATACAAAGGAAAACCCATCAAAATCACAGCAGATTTCTCAATGGAAACCTTAGAAGCAAAAAGAGCATGGACTGAGGTCATCTGGATACTGAATGAAAATAACTTCAATCCTAAGATACTCCACCCAGCAAAACTATCATTCAAAATACATGGAGCAATAAAAGTCTTAAACAATAAGTAGAAACTACAACAATATATGGCCACCAAGCCACAACTACAAAAGACTCTTCAAGGAATTCTGAACACAGAAAATGAAAGTGAACAAAACCATGGCAGGACATGCAGTACCAAACCACAGGAGATGACAAGACAAGAAAGCAGAGAGTAACATTGATTCAGCCGTACACAATCAAACCCTTAAACAACAAAGACAACAAAATGATAGGAATCACCACATACCTATCAATACTAACATTGAATTTTAATGGACTTAATTTCCCTATCAAAAGACACCCTTTGGAAAACTGGATAAAAGAAGATCAAACATCTGTTGCTGCAGGAGACCCATCTCATCAACAGAAAACAAGCACTGACTAAGGGTGAAAGACTGGAAGAAGATTTGCCTAGTCAATGGCCCCCGAGAACAGGCAGGGTAGCAATACTTAACTCAAAGTAGACTTCAACACATTGATCAAATGAGATAAAGAAGGAAATTCTATACTAATAAAAGGGGAAATACACCAAAAGGAAGTAACAATTATCAACCTATATGCAACCAACGAAATTGCACCCAATTTCATCAAACATACTCTGAAGGACCTAAAAACATATATAAACTTCAACACAGTGGTAAAGAGAGACATTAATACCCCCTATCACCAATAGATAGGTTATCCAAACAAAAAATCAATAAAGAAATCCTAGATCTAAATCACACCACAGAACAAATGTACCAAGCTGATGTCTACAGAATATTTCATCTAATTTCTGCACAATATACATTCTTCTAGCAGCCATTGGAACTTTCTTCAAAATTGATATCTTAGGGCACAAAGCAAGCCTCAGCAAATATAAGAAAATAGAAATAATCCCATGTAGTCTATCTGACCATAATGCATTAAAACTAGAACTCCACAACAAAAACAACAGTAAAAAACATGCAAACAATTGGAAACTGAAGAACACATTGCTCAATGATAAATGGGTCATTAATGAAACAAAAGAAGAAATTAAAAGGCTCCTGGAAGTTAATGAAAATGAAAACACGACCTACCAGAACTTATGGGACACAGTAAAGATAGTCCTAAGAGGAAAGTTTATAAACATGAGTGCATATATTAAAAGGACAGAAAGATCTCAAATCAATGACTGATGCTTCATCTCAAACTACTAGAAAAACAAGAACAAGCAAATCCCAAAATAAGCAGAAGGAGAGAAATAATAATAATAACAACCAAAATCAATGAAATAGAAAAACAAAAACAAAAAACATATAAAGAGTCAATGAAACAAAAAGTTATTTCTTTGAGAAAGTAAGTAAGATTGACAGACCCCTGGCAAATATGACTAAAATGAGGAGAGAAAAACCCCAAATCAGTAAAATCATAAATTCAAAAAGCGAGATAACAACAACACCATGGAAATCCAGGAAATCATCAGAGACTTCTTTAAGAACCTATATTCTATTACATTTGAAAATCTTGAAGAAATTGACAGATTTCTAGAAACTTATGACTATCCATAATTGAACCAAGAGGACATTAATAACCTGAATAGATATATAACACAAAATGAAACTGAAGCAGCAATAAAGAACCTCCCAAAAAAGAAAACTCCAGGACCTGATGGACTCTCTGCTGATTTCTATCAGACCTTTAAAGAAGAACTAATACCAACCCTTCTTAAACTTCTCCACAAAATAGAAATGGAAGGAAAACTGCCAAACTTATTGTATGAAGCCAGTATTACACTCATCCCAAAACAAGACAAAGACACCTCCAAAAAAGGAGAACTATGGGCCAATTTCCTTAATGAACATAGATACAAAAATCCTCAATAAAATCACAACAAACTGAATCCAACAACACATTAGAAATCATTCACCACAACCAAGTCAGCTTCATCCCAGGGATGCAGTGGTAGTTCAACATAAGTAAATTTATAAATGTAATGCAGCACATTAATAGAAGCAAAGACAAAAACCACCTGATCATCTCAGTAGACACAGAAAAAGACTTTGACAAGATCCAACACCACTTCATGATAAAAGCTCTAAGAGAACTAGGAATGGAAGGAATGTACCTCAACATTGTAAAGGCTATATATGACAAACCTGAAGCCAACGTTTTCATACATAATGGTGAAAAACTGAAACCATATCCCCTAAAATCAGGAACAACACAAGGGTGCCCACTATCCCCACTCCTACTCAACATAGTACTGGAATTTCTAGCCAGAGAAACTAGGCAAGAAGAAGGAATACAAATAGGTAAAGAAACTGTCAAAAATATCCCTATTTGCAGATGATATGTTCCTATACCTTTAAGACCCCTAAAACTCCTAGACACCATGAACAGGTACAGCAAGGTGGAAGGATACAAAATCAATTTACAGAAATCATTAGATGTTCTATACACCAAAACGAACAAACTGGGAAAGAATATATGGAAACAGTTCCATTTACAATAGCAGCCAAAAAAAATCAACTACCTACAAGTAAATGTAACAAATGATGTGAATGACCTCTACACGAGAACTACAAATCCCTGAAGAAAGAGACTGGGGAAGACTACAGAAGGTGGAGAGATCTCCCATGCCTATGGATTGGGAGAAAGAAACATACTAAAAATGGCTATACTACCAAAAGCAATCTATGTGCTTAATGCAATTCCCACCAAAATCCCAATGATATTCATCACAGAGATTGAAAAATCTACCTTAAAATTCATTTGGAAACACAAGAGACCACAAATAGCCAAGGCAATACACAGCAAAAAGACCAATGCTGGGGGTATCACAATACCCGAATTCAAATTATATTACAAAGCAACAGCAATAAAAACAGCATGGTAATGGCACAAAAAACGACATGAAGACCAGTGGAACAGAATAGAGGCACCCGGATATGATCCACACAATTATGCCCACCTTATTTTTGACACAGGCTATAAAACATATAATGGAGAAAAGACAGCCTCTTCAACAAATGTTGCTGGAAAAAGTGGTTATCCGTATGCAAGAAACTGAAACAAGAT